CTGTCTCCTAATAAACCTTTAGGGGGAGCTCTACGTAAAACCCCTGGAGTAGGGACGAAGAAGAATGCTAGCTTGCATTAGCTTGTTAGCTCGCAGCAGTGTCACTAGCCGATCTGTCCCAGATTTCTCATTCTCTCCATTGAATTGCGTGACATCATCATCGGACACGCTAAGCGCAGTCACAGTAACGTTCCAAAGGCTATTTGAGTGTATTGCTTTTTGTTGTTTTTAAAATATGCGATATTTAAGCAAATTTCAAAATATTCAAAAGCAACCCCCTGCAGGAAAAAGACAAAAGAATAAAAAAGTAAGAAAAACAAAGTATTGCCTCCCCCGAAGTTCATGCTTATGCAGGACGGATCGTGTTTCTAGGACGGATCGGATCGTGACCAGCGGTTAGAGCTTCTACTCAAAGATGGAGCTTCATCAGATCTTTATTTCAGCTCCGTCTCTTCATTGATTCAGCAGCTTTAATGCGGCAAATAAATGTCAAAATGTGTGAATTCTGGACATTTGCTCTCTGTCATTCCTGCTGCTAGCATTTACCTGTGCTAAATGAAAATTAGCCGCTTTCATTTCCAATTTTGACTTCTTCTTCTGGCGGTTAGGAAAAATCCGCAGAAAAGCCGCACCTTCTTATAAGTTGCATGGTTCAAAGCGTGGGGAAAAAAGTAGGAGCTTATAATCTGGAAAATACAGTAATCATCCGAGCCATTTTATTTGAAACACAGACACCTAAACTAGTCTCGCATGTATTTTCAATTTTATATGTGTAAACATTCAATAGCATGACCCCCAATATGTCCCAAGCATCAGTCCATGCTGCTTCTCTGCTCCTCTAAAAGCCTCCCAACTGAATTTGAAGCTGTTACCGTACGTTACGGTAAACTTTTGTAACTTTGAAAATGAAACCTGTCAGTAATCCAGTTTGTGTGGTCTGTTTTAGTGTTTCCTTTCCTCCTCCACCAAGTGGTGCCCCGTCCTCATTGGGCCTCCCTGCACACCTGCAGCTCGTTGCCTCATTACCTGTGGAGTACTTTTAAGGTGCTGACTGCCACTACCTCGTCGCCAGAGTGTTTGCCAATATTGGGTACTCTAGCCATGTTTAGTTTAGCAGAGTCTAACCTGAGTTTTTTGTTTTGCCAGTTTTGGTTTCTCTAGCCAAGCTAAGTTTTGCTGAGTCAAACTGAGTCTGAACTTTGTTTTTTGTTCTTTGCCTCTCGTTAGGAAGTCATCCTGCAAACTGGATTTTTTTGGACCATCTCTCTCTGGAAGGATCAACTGAGCTTCTAACTGAGCTGGGGTTTCAAACAGGAGGTTTGGATCCACTTTCCTCAAGAGGTCGTTTGAGCTTCACACTGAGCAAAGGTTTCATCTGCACCGCAGCCCGTTCAAGTACTGCAGGAGATCTGAGTGGCAGTCAGCTACTCCATTCACCAAGGAACAACCGCAGACTGAGTAAACCCCGTCCGCCCACCATCAAA